TTTTTGCTTTAAAATTAATGCTTTTAAAAAATAGCAAATATTTAAAAACAAATATAAGTATGTATATTTATTCAATTCATTATTAAAATACTTTATCAAATTAAAACAGTAAATTACTGCACAAAAAACATATGTGCAGGTACAGAACAGGATATAACTTCAGCATTTCTAATTTCTCATTTGTTTGTTCGGACACAGTTACAAATATGTACGCGCCAATAAAAACACCGTCAACTTTGCTGTTTTATAACAACAGTTGCAAGTTTTTTTTCACGACATTATTGCAGTAGCGTTGACAATAAACTCTAGAAACATTATGAGAAAAGGAAAAATGAGTTTATACTGCTTGACCTGAAGTATGTATTACAGAGAGACACGTCTGCTGTAATATTTCTCAATCCTTTTTACATTTTTTCCCCCGCTTTTAAATTACGACTTTGCAGTCAACGCGGCGCGAGATACAGCAGTTGTGACGCTGTCCTAAATTTCGCCACGTCGACAGAGTCCCGATGTTCAATAGTTTTTGAACGACGCTAATATCCGCGACAATTTGTTCGGAAGACGTGAGCGCACTCGTTTCGGCTCGCAACCGCTGTTCCGAAGCATCGTGCGTCCGAATAATCGATTCGACTGATTCATTAATATCGTAAACTTGCCCGCTGTCGACGACGGTCAACGGACGTTGACCATGACATAAAGCACGAACGCCGCCCACGGGAAGTGGTTCCCGAGCATCAGGACTCGTGGTTAGGAGGGGGGGGGAATTCCCGCCCGCCCTCGTCCTGTAATTTTCCCGTTCTCTGACTTCGTGTCGCACACTTAATCCATTTTGTCTCGAGATCCTGCCTAGTCGGAAAATATTGGCGACGAGAGCGAGGAAAACTTAACGATTCACGAATTCTTGACTGATTACCGTTTTGGAGCGCGAAAACACGCCGCAATAATGCGAAGGAAGGGGGAGGCTGGGACGAGACAATGCGCGATCTTTAAATCTCATGATTTTCCTTCTCGGATGTGCCAGGTTCGTGCTGTAATCGTTAGAATGACGTGTCGCGCGAACCAGGAATTTATCGATGTGCGGCTAATGCGCCATTACCTCGTGTGCGCGCGAGGGAAATCGCCTAGAAGACGCGCGGGCGAAATTTCTTGGCGACGGCATAGCAGAAATAGCATAGACGACCGCTTTGGAGACCGTCACTTGAACTGGGTTAATGATCGCAACGAGATGATTTATAATGATTAAGCCATCGCGCGCGTTTACGGTACTAGAGGGGTGATTTTTCAATGCTTCGGGGACAGTAGATTAGGCAAAGCTATAATTTTTAATATCGTTTCTTTTGGCCTGCGTAAAAATACTAAAAGCTCTAAAGATGTGATCTAAATTTCACGAAAATAATGTCTATGGGATGACTTAGCTTTCTCGTCGGTTTTCATCCTAACGACAGGTCGTTTGATAAATTTGGAATCGATTTTTCGCACGGTGAATTTCCAGGAATTTGTCACAAGACTTTAATATCGCGTGTGGAATTATCGTGATAATAATAATAATATAAAATTTTTAAAGATAAAAATCGACTATAGATTGCGTGCTATGCATTTCCCTTAAAACTCGATGTCTTTATTACTTCGTCGTCAACATTGCTATTGTCAATTGAACGATACAAAAATCAAAGTGAATTGAATTGACCCTTGAGATTTATCATTAAACGCACCGTTTACCAGGAAACGGCACAAGTTTCTTTGGGAACGCTTTCTCCCAGGATCTCTGATTGACTTAATCAGTGCGCCTTTAATTTTCTCGATTTACTTAGGTCTTAAACGCTCAGAGCTTGGCGACAGAGCTTTGGAGAACGAGCGAGACGACTTACGACGTCGAAACTGGAACCCAGAGCATAGACAGAAGTGAAGTAGAATTATTGGACTCGAAGTTAGTTTCAAGGGATTCTTACCGTCGCGGAACTAAAATCGCCAGCGATTTGAGACTTTTGAAGAATACTGCTATTCTCATTTTTAAGGGGACTTTCAACCAAGAGAAAGTATTACAATATATAAAGATGTAAATTTGTTAAAAATTTATTTTGTCAGAATTTATTTTAGCGAACAAAATTTTAAGCAGCACTTCTATTTTACGTTCTCATAAAGAAGGCATATTAACGCGATAAATGGATGCTTCCTTTGTCTCCTTCGTGCTTCTTGTCGATGGCGTAAGATCGCTAAATACAAACGGCCGAATGCGACCAAAAAAAAAGGTGAAATAAGCAAGTGCACCAGCGAGAACAAGGTTGGAACTCTTTGGCCTCCTCGCAGGATGACTCTGGCTAATGTCAAGATAAATGCGATTTCCTGGAAGTGGAATGGGGGCGCGGGGCAAGGGTGACGCGGGGACGCAAGAAGAAAAATATTGTTTGCCACGAAAACTGGGGCGCACATCCTGAAGGAGGACGCTGGCGGTGGTTCGACCGCGAAGGCGTCACGCTGGTGGCCGCGGGACGAGGCGGGAGAGAGCGAAGAGCAGAGGAAGCCAAAAGCGCGTCGGCTCTCGTGTCGAAGGAGCTTGCCAAAATTTCCAAGGCTTAAGGTTCGTTTTTAGAGCGGAATTAAGAGGAGGAAGCTTTTAGAATAGGTTTCGGTTACTTAACCGGGTCACAGAGATTCTTGCATGACTTCAGAGAGAAGCACGGCGAAGTCCGCAACACGCGATCCCTTTCTCAATGTATCTTCAATAGCAGACATTATCACTAATTTGAGAAAATATTTTGATACATTGTTCTGTGCTCCTTTCCATGGAGATTCTTGCATTTGCTTATCCGTCTTGTCTGTCCACGAATTGAAAACAACTATAAAGCAAGCTATTTAATAAAGAGATCAAAGAGATTCCGGCAAACGTCTTACGTACGTGCAATTTCCTCAAAAAATCTGTGTTTAATAAGTCTGGCGAAGAAAGTTTGATGCTTCTCAGAATGCTCCGTACTTATTTACGCGAAATTGAAAATAGGAAATATGAAAAGTTTGCCGCTGCGAAGTTTTACGCTCTTAATAGCCATCAAATTCGCTTCGTAGTAGCTGCACTAATGCAAATATCAAGTTTACCTCAGAATATGCGAACAGTTCGATCATTATCACTCTGCTCGCCGCGCGGCAATTATTCTAGAAACATTCCCGATTATTCATACGACCTTCCCATTCTCCGTTGAGAATCTTGAGAATACACGGCGATCCTCCGAATTCCGTTTATTCGGAGGACCATGGCAGCGTTCGTGTTCACATCTCATGTCGGTATTGTCCAGCTTTCGCGACTATTTTCGAAATTGGCGGATCGGCGGCGAGTGGAGTCGCCGTCGCTGTTGCGATCGCTCAATGTCCAGCATAGCATAGCTTCGGACCAATGAGACCGATTTCGGGAGCTCGTTATCGTGGATGAATTCAATGCATCGCGTACGACAACGAGCGACAGCGAATTCAAGCGACGCCGGCTCAGCGTTCTGACCATCTATCTTGCTTCGGACGGTTGTCCTCCCGGTAATGCCGAAGATATCGGTCCAAGGAGCCACCGGTGCGGGTGCTATCAGCGGAAACTGCGCGTCTTTCTGAGCGCTGCGGATATCGCTTGGTTTTCGGTCACTTCTTCAACGACTAACAATGCAGTCTCATTATCAGATCGAAGAGATCGATCCATCGCGTATTCGTGTTTTTAGATTAGACATCGGATACGATACAGATTTAATAAGATGTTACGACAACTCACGGTTGCAGGGAGATTTAGTTGAGAAAATAAGACAATGTATTTCCGCAGAATACAGTTTCATTCTGATAATCGTTCAACCAAGCACTTTGGAGATTATACTTTAAACTTATAAAACCGTTACTTCTTTTCATTTGATTTGATAAAACAATTTTGTTATTAATGCATCTCTGTAATAATAAATATTAATCGCGCTTTTATTTCTTGATAAATAATGAGATATTTTTAATTATAATATGTGAAGTGTTTAATATGTTTATGTTTCTACTTTGCGAAGTAATTTATTACATAAGCAATTAGCTGGATAGCTTAAGACATTTGGCTTTCATTAATTGCATCTATATATTTTACTCGGACAGGCGGTATTCCGTTCGACCTCCAGCATTGAGAGCACTTTCACATCATCCCCTTACGATACTCTCATACTGCCTTTGGCGGAGGTCTCTGTGACCTCGAAAAGAAGCGACCGATATTCGGCGTCCCCGCTTTAAGAAATATGTCAGTGGTACGATTAATCGATCTTTCTTCATGCCAACTGTCCTCAAATTCGCGTTCGTCAGTCGCGAAATGCCTTCCGTGCAAATTTACCGTGTTTCAACAAATTGTAACAAATTAGCAAACTAGTCTGAGAGTTGCAACTTGTCCTTTTGCGAGAATGTACGAGAAATCTTGGTAAACTCTTGTATAAAGTTCCTTGGCATATTTGCTTGCAAGCTTTATAATTTCATTGCATAATTTGCCGGAAAACACGAGTTTCAATGCAAACGGTGAGCAATAAAGCATATAGTTTCAAACATACCCGCTAAAAATTTTATTTTATATTATTTCTTTTCAACAATCAATAGCCGACTTAATATTAGTATTAACAAAAGTATTCGTATTGGCATAAATTTGATTTTAAAATAAAAAATTTTAAATTAATTTTTTTTTAATAAGTTTTTTCTTTTTATTATTCTGTTATGTTTTGTTATTGGTGTTTTTATATAGAAAAAATGAAACGAAAAATAAAATAGCTGGTAAACAAGATCGTTTCGAGATTACATCTTTATTAAATGTCACGCGTAAAAACGATGAATAATATTTAATTTCCAGAGTGCCAGTCTCGCGAAATGCATGTTGCGAGGTAATCTTTTTACTCCACATCTTTATAATCCGATGGTATTGTTGTTTTACATTTCTCGAGATTGCTTTGTCAACCGTGTTGCCAAGCGAGACTAACGTCAGTTTATACATATCAAAGCGCGTAAACTTAACTTACCCTTTCTATGTGGCCACCGCTAACGACCTCCGGCGTGTTAACGCAGACCACTCTTTTCAAGCGTAGTTTGTTAACGTGGAAGGCCGATCCGTAGCAGTACATCAACACCATCGTCGTCGGGAAATAAAAACAGCAACATGCCAGGATTCTGCAAGAGAAAATACGATAAAGAGCATTTTCCGGTCCAGAAGAGTAGCAATTAGCGCATTATACACGAGTTGACGCATAAAGTGATGCATTAAAGACGATCAACGCGCGCGGACGCGATGAAATTATGCAAGGAAATCCGCGAAATCCTGCAATACGAGTGTAAAGTTTACTAGCGCTGTACCAAAACTGTCGTATTTATAGTGAGTTAGAAAATTTTGTGATGCTTCCGCTCTTTTTGATATGAATGAATGCGATAATGTGTTTCACGGTTTAACTTTATATGCCAAGCACAAATTATCCCAAGTTTCTTTTATTTGACTTTCACAGTTAATAAAAAGTTGATTTCTACTCAAATTAAAGCGGCGAAAGAATTTCCGAGTTGTCAGCGCGATAAAAGCTTTACGACAATTCGGACAGACGGTCTTTCGTATTTAGCACCGGGTTTGATCAGACGTTATCAGTTGGGAACATTAGACGCGGATATTGCTATCTTTCACGGTTGATCGCCTCGGGGGCAACTCCGAGACGATCGGCCGTCCTCAACATTAAATTGTAATTGTCCGCAATTGGTCACCGACCAATGTCGGCGAACAAACGCCGTGGGCAAGATCGTGAAACATCGGTCTTATCACCGGCCTTTGCCGCAGGGATACCTAAGAGACGCTCTAGCGAAGAAAGGGTCGCAGGCGAGAAGGCCAGACCCGTTGAAGTAGTATCCGCCTCGGGGGAGCACGAGTACCCCGAAAATCGCCACGCTCGCTATCCAGGTGGCCGACATCACTGCCACGCAACCCTGCCGCATGTAATACTGTGTCAACATAGACAGAAAACGATCACTATTTCTCACCGAAACGCCAAGCACGTTATGGATTTGGTATACATTGTGTGCGCATATATTCTATATGTTCGTTTGTGTATTTTTATCGGTCAGTGTGAGAGTTTGTTTGCACACACTCCGCATTTCACAACGTAGTATATCATGGGTTGTTTACTCTAACGATTATCCTGTGCCGTTTTTATCGGAAATCTCAGAGCGGGCATTGCAAATCTCCAATCGGGCATGTTTCGACACGGCACAATCTAATATCGGTGTATGCAATAAGTAAATACACCAATATATGCTCGCGAACGTACGAACGTGTTGCGCCATTTTACATTTTGGGCGAAACAAATGTGTGCAAACAGTCCTCGTGTGTAATATAAATGTATTATGTTGTAAATATTGATATAAAATATAAACATGAACACAGCACGCACAAAATTTCAACTCAAGTATACATATCTAAAATTAAATATTTATTAAACAAAAAAGGATAAAAAACAGAAATTTTTTAAATATATGTCATATAACTTTAGTATAGTTGAATTTGCAAAACATTTCTGCTCAAAATTCAAAGTTTTACTGGTAAAAATTAGTTATTGTTTAAAGATATCGATTATTCAGTCCCGTGTTTTTAAGGACATTGCACCTTTAGTGAAATCATCTTTCCACTTGATCAAATCTCTCAGCAAGTACAAAAACCTCTGCAGACTAGTTTTATCGACGGTCCATTTTTATGGCACAAATCCTGTGTGTTAAGTATTATCGAGATCAGGTGAACCTCGTTTTGACCTCGAAGAACGATCAATGGATACTCGATCCTATACTATCCCTTGTGTAATAAGAACCAAATACTTGTGCAACGTCTTCTTTTTCTTTGTTGTTATAAATATAAAATTCACTTTTAACTTTGAGAAATATTATTAGAAAAATGTAACAATGTGTTAAAAAAGCGAATTAAAATGCATGAGATTAATAATAATTTATTAACGCATACAATTTTTCGAGAGAGAGCAAATTTTTAAAAACAATTGAATATTTATAACTTGCAATGTGTGTGTTGTTTCATATTATATTATCAATTAATATTGCAAGAATTATGCAATTACATGATAATGGCAGATCTAATCGTGAATAATACTTAAAGAAACGCTGAAACTGTTATACATAAATAATAAAATTGTAATACAAACGCCATTCTAGATTTTATGAGATGCATAAAATTTATGAAATGCATTTTGAATCGAGCTACTGAATTGTGAATTCCTGGAAATGCTATCAAAGATTATCGATTCGCATGAATATTGTAAGAGTTGATATTTATTACGCATTATAAGCACTGGTTATAAAGAGATATATTATAAAGAAGTAAAAATAAAATTATTGTACACTTTGAACTAAATATAAACTGTATACAGTTGAATATTGCCAATATGAGTAAAGTAATAATAAAGCTAAAGTAATGCAAAGTCCTATTTTTGAATTAATATAATACAAAACAGTAAACGTGAAAGGAATGCACTAATCAGGGATAAGATTTTGTCTTATTAATTTGTTCCGCAAAATTATAATATCGTAAATTATTAAATAAAAAATTATTGTTATTTTTAAAAAAGTATAGAATACTATAGCAATTATTAAGATTTAAAAAAATTAAAACAAAAAATATTAAAAGAAATCTGACAAAAAATGAGAAAGCTACTACTGTAATCAAGATGAAAGAGAGAGAAAAACATCAAGCTGAAATCAAAATCGATGAGAAGCAACAGCTTCTATCAATCAGATGTAAAAAAAGTCGCAGAAGCGAGAACTGCTAGAATTCGATGAGCGGCTGAACATCCGATAGGCGGAAAATTACGGAATAAATGGAAGACATGACTCAGCGATTCGTCAGATCTTTTTCTTTTATTTTTGATTTTTACACGTTTCGTTCCCTTTCTCGTTTTAGCAATTGTGCAAATAGCAATTCTATTATAGCTCCGCGCTGTACCGTCCGATATATTTATCGTGATGAAAAGAATAAAATTAAGACACGTTAACCGAACTTGCACAAAATAGTATATCAGCAACAGTCAAAATTTGAATAGTATTTTAAACTTAATTCAAATTTAACAAAAAGTATTTTGTGAAATTTTTGTTAACATTTTAACATCAATTCTATGTAGGTACATTTTTCAAGTATAGAAAAGGATCTGGAAAGTAAAAATTATTATCCAATAAATTACAGTGGTATTAAGAAAACGTAGGTGGCTCGCGTGTTTTCAAAAACGAGAGGAGAATTATAAGAACGACGGGCGATATATTAAAGGATAAATAAAAAAGTTCGTGAGGGTGGCGCGGTCTGGGAAACCGCATTCTTCGAAGAGTCGGTGACTTCGTCGGTGCGATATCAAATACGCGTATAGAACAGTTCAGAATTATACCATCCATCCCTTCTCATTTACGCGGAGTGCGCGCGAATAAATAATTTCCCTCCCGACGTTTCTGCGAAATACCCTTAAAGCAATTAGCAGTCAAAGCAATCTTAGTCAGCGTTAACTTTACCTTGTTCCATCTAGGATTAAATCATTTCTTCCTAACTGCTTGGAAGTTAGGAGTATGATAATTTTGAACCGTTCTGTATACCTGTCTTTACTATACGTGTATAAATTGCATCCTGGTTACGCGATTCATTGCTACAGGCGCGGGATTGGCGAGATACGTGGTGGGTGAATGAGAGCTCGCACTGCGGCACTTTGCATTCTGATGTGCTTTTAAATCTCCCCGAAATTCATTTCGGCGCTTAAGCCAGGGTAAACCGACGTGCGCCGGAGCTTCGACAAACGGCGGTGTGAAAACCGCAGGTATGTTACGATCCCGCACGAAAGGATCTCGCTAATATCACTCGCAAACTTCGCGAAAGTTGCCTTTAGACGAACCGCCGACCCAATCGCTTTTGTTACCGTCATTCGGAAAGCAATGGAAAATTACTGAATTATAACCTGCGGTAATCGACACACCCGAAAGTTGCAAAGGCAATCTAATGTTGTAGATTAGACGAGCTTTCCGACGCGTTCAGTTAAGCTAGTAGTTTCTACAAACTTTATTTTTCACTAAACTTTAAAAAAACTCAAAGTGGTTATGCGATGCTTTATGTAAATTATAACATGTAAAATGTGTGTAAGAGAATAATAAGGAAAGAAATCAATATAAATATTAAGATATAATCCTTTGTGAAACTTAAACTTTACAGTTTTAATAGAAAAAAATATAGGCCATTTCTTCAGATATTTTCTTCCATTTTTAGTTTTATTTAAAAAGCATCAAACATTAAAATATAAATATCAATACTACACTTTTTTCTAAAAAAATAAGGAAAATATATAATATTTTATTCAGTACTATGGAAATCGATGTATGTTTATATAATTTACGCACTTTTTCACTATACTGCCAAAACAGAAGTGTTCGTTACTATTTTTATTTTGATTTTGTTTGAAAAACGTGAGATAACCTAGAGTCCGTAGAGACTAAGAGATTATTTTTTTAAATAAAATTTTTATTCTTTTCTGTTAAGCTTCCAATCTTTTTTAATATCCATTTCAATGAATGGCTCACGTATCTGTATTTGACGTACCACCACACACGCTCATAACTGAATAATATATAATAGATACCGGATTAAAAAAGATATATGCTTTACGGACGTAGATCTCTCTCTCTTTCTCTCTTTCTCTCTCTCTCTCTCTCTCTCTCTTTTTCTCTCTCGTATCGATATTTTACCGGTATTAAACTTTCAAAGGTAACATGTAACGAGAAATATTTTCATCCTTCAAACTTATGATTACGAGCGATGAATAATATCGTTTGGATTCTCGTATCTTACTTATGAATAAAATGATTGTGATATGTAACGAGAAATATTTTTATTCTTCAAATTCCTGAATATAAATATCGCTTAGACTCTCATGTTATATTCATGGGTGAAATGAATGTGCCAATAGCTGATTCGAAATGTATTCTATTCTCTCACAAATTCAAAAGAATGGGACAAGTTTTACTAATAGCTGTCATTTTCACTCAGCGGCAACTATTTTAATCTAAAACGATAGTCATCTGCAGAATCAACTGTTCCAGCGTTTCACCTAGATATTGTATTTAAGAGCGAATCTGATTGTCGATAGGTTGAACGAATTGATAGATTAATTAGGAAAATGAATTCCGCAAATGTTTGAAACAGGTGATACCGGTTGGTATAAAATTCCGTTAGAGATAGTCGCAAAGAGATTGTATTCGGCTCTACTTCGGCTATAGGTGGAATAAGAAAGTGATTGCTGAAGGAAAATCTTTAGATATTATTTAACAGAATATAATTTTTAGTACGCGATAATATAATATATAATGATAATGAATTCACAATTACTTCTCTCGATCGAGAATAGTTAAAAACGTGTCATTTTATCGCGATGTGAGTAGATGGAATTTTTAATATATTAGTGCGCACTTCACTTTTTACGAATAAATAAAATTTCGGAAAATTTATTATTAAAATAGAGAGCAGATATTTGATGAAATATAATAAATAACTCATAATGAAATTTCAGAAAAATTGCAATTTGCAATATTAACATATTGTCAATAAGAAATGTGTAAGACAGGTTGAATTAACGAATAAATATAGACAGTTAATGACTTACCCTTTTAGAAGAGTGCTTGTGATAGCGGTGAGGATGCAGCATGCAAACGTAACGGTCGATTGCCATGCAGACGAGGATTACGGCGCTCTGTTGCGTCAAAGCGCCTCTAAGAAGTGCCTGGAACAGTAAAAGTTTCCGAAAGAGCAAACGAGATTCTTCGGGTGTCGTCCCGTCAGTCTTTTCAAATAAAATAACTTATAACTTCCTGGAAAAGTACATGGCTCGACGAACAACGAGACGAGTCGTCGTGTTGGATAAGCGGCAAGTTTTGATGAGCCGAGAGGACGTCGAAAAAATCAACTGTATTTTTTTTTGTAAACGAAGACTTTATAATTACATTCTGACAGTTACGTTTTGTAGAAATCGCCAGTTACACGTTTCTCGATTTGCTTAAAGAAAGTAAGAAGAACAGACTCTACACTTCTCGAATTAACTAATTAATCAATTATTTAATTTTTAATTAAATGCAAAATTATTATTAATTTTCTACGAACATAGAGA